CAGACACAGAAGTTACTGTATTTTAAAACACCCAAAAGGTAATAACAGCTCAACATCCAGCTGGTTGCTAGGGCTCTATATCGGGATGCTAAATGACAGAATGGATAGTCTGCTAAAGTTGCAGAGGACTCAGAAACTGTTTGCAGTTCTTCCCATTTTAATGGGACCAACATTTACAAGTTTACATTTGTTTTTGTTGGATTTCAAGTGTTTCACATTAACAATGCACAAGAGAAGGCTTTAATCAATATCAAATCGACACAAGTCAACAAATACAATATTTTGGAACAAAAGGCCTGTGAAGACAATTCCAGTATATAGTTTAGTCTCAAAAGGTTGCACTGGACTTAGTTGTATTCGGATGGAGTCAGGAGTTTCCTGTTACTGATATGTTCTTGTTTCAGGGAGACAATTAAAATTCTTGTGCAGCTTCCTGAGTGGTGTGTCCTTGGAGCCTTCCATAGCAGGACAAATGTCATTTTAGGTTGTATTAACAATATAACACTCCCAAGGCTCAAGAAATAATAGCATCCCACTAGTTTGCACTATAAGACCTCTTCTAGAGTGCTTCATTGAATTATGAGCACCACAGTTCAAGGAGAATGTTGTATAACCTGGAAAGCACTCAGCAGAGAGCCATGAAAATGACAAAGGGTCTAGAAAAGGATGCATATAAAGGGAAGACTGAGGAAATGCATAGCATTATCCCAGAGAGAGGAAACAAGCTCAACTAGAAGATGTGAACCACTTTAAGATATTTCCAAAACAAGGTAAAAATAGTTGTTCATTTTATCCACCCAAAAGAAGGAAACAATGGCTTTAAACTACAGGTATTAATTTAAGGCTGTATAAATACTGAACATTTAAAGCACATTCCCATCCCCCAAAGCATCCAGAGTGACAATTCCCAGCAGCCTTAACAAACTACAGTTCCAGCATACTTTAAGGCAGGGACATGCTTTAAATGTATGGTGTGAAAGTAGCCAAAAACAACAGATAGCAATTAGATAGATAGACAGACAGACAGACAGACAGATATATGCCATGTGAAAACACATTTTTTTCAGAAATTTTTTAACAGCGGTCTAGACCATATTTAAATACAATATTTCGGTGTAAAGAATCCAGCATAAACTGGCTGGGTTGCTTCAGTTTTGCTGAATGCTTATAGTGTCTCCAATTGGAAATGGAGCTGTCATAACATGAATGTTTGCAGGCCACATTCTATAAAGAAAGGAAAAGCTGCCATTGTAGCTGGGAATAAATGCCTACAAGGGTGACCAGAACAGGAGATATGGCCAAAGCTGTCATGAAGGGTGACAAGGCCAATCTTTACTATTACTATTTATTTGTATATGATTTGGGTTTAATTGGTTTTTATTTGTATAACTTATGCTGTTGTACCTTCTGAAGGTAATCATCTTCTTATGTTGTGAAACGCCAAGTTATTTCTATCATACCAGAAAACTATTTTGCTGAGATACGCATGTACAATGAAGGGACATTTTGTTGTGTGGCATTCTGTTTGGAAATGGATATTCATATAGTGGTACCTTTGTTCTCAAACACCTTAGTTCCCAAATGCCGAAAACCCAGAAGTAGGTGTCCCAATTTTTGAACTTTTTTCGGAAGCCAAACATCTGCTGCAGCTGTCGGCTATTGTTTCCGGGGTGCCTGCACCAATCAGAAGCTGTGCCTTGGTTTTCGAACATTTCGGAAGTCAAATGGACTTCCGGAACAGATTAAGTTTGGCGCTTTTGTTTTTGCTATTTATTTTGCATTTTTGCTTTTGAGGCTTTTTTGGTTAATTTGTTTTTGTGACTGTGTGAAACCCAGTTCAGCTACTGATTGATTGATTGATTGATTGATTGTGTGATTGTGGAAATGGATAAAAGCCCCCCATGCAAACAGTGACTATCTGCAGGTAAGGAATTTTTTTTAAAAAAATTTACCATCTAAAATAAATTTTACCATATAAAATAAATAAGAGTATTGTATAGTACAGTACTTGATTATTGCTTTTATTTTATGGATCAGTGGTCTCGTTATATAGTAAAATTCATGTTAAATTGCTGTTTTAGGGGTTGTTTTTAAAAGTCTGGAATGGATTAATCCATTTTGCATTACTTTCTATGGGAAAGCGTGCCTTGGTTTTCAAACGCTTTGGTTTTGAAACGGACTTCTGGAAAAGATTAAGTTTGAGAACCAAGGTACCACTGTATAATGTTCTAACCTATTTTTTGTGGGGGCGGGGGAGAAGGAGAGAATGACTTTATACTGGCATTATGTTGGGAATGTTGTTGTATGGCAACAACTGAAAATCTGGCAAGTGATCTCTCCATCAGTGTGTTTTACAAAAAAATAAAAATCAAATGCATGTGTTTTACCAAGTTTAAGATGCACACGTGTCCCCATAGACCATTTGCAGTATATGGCACCTCTGGGTGAAACGAGATACTATGCTAATCACATGATTAGCAACCACACCAGTGTTTCTTTGTTTTTAATATCAAGTAGAGAGATTTTCATGAGGAGAGTAGCATGTGAGAAGGCAAGGTTTATTTGTTTCTTCCCCACCCACTACCTTGATTAAAAATTCCCCATGTGGCAATTAGTTTTTTTGCGGGGGAGCTCCTATTGGCACAAATCAGAACTCATTTCCTAAATATTATTTCAGTGCAGGGGTGGATTTTTGTTGGAAGCATAGCTGTGGAGGGAAAGGGACAAACTTCTCCTCTTCACACACTGCTTCTCCTAATGAAAATTGCCCCCTCCGTACCAAATATAATTTAAAAAATAAATAAATACATAAAGATCCTGGCCATGGTTGCAATCCACTTAACTAATATAACTCCCACATCTCAATTTGTTGCTTGCTTGCTTGCTTTTGTTCTGTGTTGATTTTTGCATCTCTGGAAACAAATTTGAAAACACCAGTCCTAACAGATCAATGTACTACTACGATTCATCTATCTTAGCTGTGGAATGCTTATATTTTTAGCATAGTTATTCTTTTGACAAGTGTTTATGTGATGGATCACCACTGCTTCAAAAGGTGATATGGTATAGCTTCAAAGAATTCTATTATTTTACCTTGCTGCATTTACTATGCATGGCAGGTCTGCTTCTTTAGAGAGCTCTTAAAGAGAACCGATTAAGAGCAGAATAACCTTATACCTTGTTGCACTGTTGTCAACTCTAGTAAGTAGCCCTGAAAATGATAATTCAAGGGAATTTGGAAAGTTCAATCCAAATTAGTATTCCACAGAATTTTATTGCTATGCATTTCCCAACAGGCTTGTGCAACGGTAGTCACATTTTGTACAGCCGTAAAACCATGACGGCCTCCACACATATACTTAAGAATATAAAAAAGGTCAAAGCAAGCCAATAGTGCATTTAGTTGAGCAACCTGCCCTCACAGTGGTCAACCAAATGCTTATGGGAAGCCAACAAGCAACTGCAACAATGCTTTCCAGATCATATTCTTTCCAAGCAACACATATTCAGAAGCATACTACCTTTAATACTTGGGGTAATACATAGCCATCACATACCCACCAAGCGTTCTTGAAAAAAATGAGACATCCCATTTTTCCATGCAAGATTTCAGTGGCCATTTTAGGTGCTGCACTCTCATCCCGAAAAAGTACTTTTTCTAGGGCAAGATCACAGAGTGGGTCACATAACTCACCTGGGAGCATGTCCTGGAAGATGTGTATCCTGGGTTTTTTATCTGAAAAAGCTAGACACTATGCCATCATCATGGCTAGCAGCTATTGACAGCCTTATCCTTCATGCATTAGTTTAATTTTCCTTTAAAGCTGGTGCCCAGTGCTACATGCTGTGGTATCAAATTCCATAGCTTAACAAAAAGGAGATACCAGAATGAGGCTCTCTTATTTTTGGCCTCTTTGGTCTCAGCAGATTACTTGGGTCCCAAAGATAAAGAGACATTATCCTAAGGTGTTTAAGGGGATGCCCAAGACCAGCATCATGGTGGCTAGGTATCACCTTGTTCAGGAGCACAAGTGGTGAGAGTGCTGTTGTATTCAAGTCCCACTTATGACCCTTCCATAGGCATGTGGCTGGACACAGAGAACAGGATGCTAGACTAGATGTGCCTTTTGTCTGATCCAGCCAGGCTATTCTTATCCTGTGTTCCTTTGGACAGGTTTAGTTTCAGTTTCAGATTTTCCTTGCAGAGAAAATCAGCCAGTATCTCTCTAAAGGGGAAGATAGGATACTAGCTGATTTTCTCTGCAAGGAGTCCTTCCTAGTCCTGAAAACAGCAAATGAGGTTTGGGGACGGGAGAACACAGGGCACATAAAAGTAAGGAAGGCATGTAGCTAAAGCCTAAAGTGGAGGACCAAAGAAGCCAGTTCCAATGCTCTGTCATGAGGACAGAGAAGAGTTGTGTGGAAAAGCCTCTTGGAAGTATACAAAAATGGTAAACCTTTGGAGCAGTTTTTTGGGCAAAAGATTGAACTACTTTCTCTCTGCCCACCTGGTTGTTGTATTTTCTTTCATCCTTCCTTACTCAAGACTTCGCTCCAAGACTGCAAAAGGCATGGTATCACAACAGCCAAATGCTTTATCGCAGCATTTACAGAGCAATCCTCTGAATATTTATGCACAGGGAAGCCACACTGTGTTCAAGGGGGCGTAGGACTGTAGCCACTACCCTAGTGTTTCATAAGACTCACCCGTACTGCAGTGACTGCAAAAAAAGTTCTCACCAGATTAATGGAACTGTAAATCTTAGCATATTTTTGACATATTTGACATTGCTGAGCTGCAGTCAATCACTGTTCCCTGAATAATCAGTCACAAAGCAAAATATATGACAGGCTCTCTAAACAAAAGCCTTCACTTGACAAGAAATGATCCAGCAAGGGAATGATTTAAAATGTATTGATTTAACTAGGTCCCCCTCTGTCATTTGGAAAAAATCAAAGCTATCTTAGGGGCATTCTCACATTAATTGCTTTCACTAGTTGTGCCACTGGATAGCTCAGTTGGTTACAGCATGGTGCTGATAACTCCAAGGCTGCAGGTTTGATCCCCATATGGGACAGATGCATATCCCTGCATTGCTGGGGGTTAGACTAGATGATAGGATCTCTTCCAACTCTACAATTCTTTGATTTACTCTATGATTTACTATTAAAGTGACAATAAGTCACCAACTGGAAATCAGTAATAGAGCTCTACTATCACAAGTACTCGTTGTTTCTAGTCTAATTCTGTCAGTATCGGAGACACCATAACCATTACTCAGCTACTATGAGAGGTTAGTATCCCTGCATCTAGACATGATCCCAAACATTTACTTAATTATTATTAAATTTATATCTCATCCTTCTTCTCAAAGGAGCCCAGAGTGGCATGGATGCATTTTAAAAGGCATATTAAATAAGGTTTTGATGCATTCTGTTTACACATGTCTTGCAGAAACCTGAAACTTGTGCTCCTGAAAATGTGCACTACTGATTTAAGACAAAAGCCTGTAGGAATTGAAAGAGCCCACATTTGGTTAGGCATGCTAGAGGCCCAGATTCAAATACCCTTTTGAGGGGGAAGCTGTATGGTTTCGGGCAAGTAACTAATTTTCAGCCTAACCTATTTCACAGGATTATTGCAAAGAAAAAAAGGAGATAATCCAATGTATTATACAAACATGAGAAATGAAAGCAAACAGAGGGTTTACTTTTTATTTTATTTTTGCTAATGTTAAATATAAAAAGGTTAATCTATTTGTTTCTTAAGTCAGTCCATTTGGAATGAAAACACTTCTGTTAAGAGCAGACCTCTGCACTAACCAATATTTTTCTCTATCCATTACACAAACACAGGCATCACAGTCTTTTGTATGACAAGATGTTATTATGGAATTGTACAAGGCTGAGTTTTATAAGAAAGCACCTTTTTCTTTGAGAAGATTCTGTCAGAGGCTTAGTGCTGTCCAGCTAGCCATAGATAAGACTCCGGGCTCCCAGCCAGTTCCAAACAATTGATTTATTTGACAAAGTTCAAACATACATCTCCAGCGTTTCCATTAGCCTCCTTCCCCTTGTGCGCAGTTGCTCCCTCTAATCTTACTTCCTCCTTTTCCGCACCCAGCATGCAAGTCTGCGAAAACTCCTCCCCTTACTTCCTCTGTGTACAGCCTGACTTGTCCCAGGCTCATCCTCCTCCCCCTCTACGTCAGACTGACTGTCAGACGACAAGCTGCTGATAATCTCTTTAGGCTCTCTATAACTGCTGGTTTCTGTCCTTTCATCTTTTCCCGTTTGCCTCTCCCTGACATCCACCCCCTCCTCAAAGGCCCCCTCCCGCTCAGGAGACCCGACTACGTCCCCTTCTCTTTCCTCAGAGGTGGTCGGGGAGAACCCCCCAAAACTACCCTCTTCCTCATCTGTCTCTTCGAACACACTCCTCCAACCCCCAATTCCTGGTGTTCCCCAGTCTACGCCTTCGTCTTCTTCCTCCTCCTCATCCGATGCTGGGAAACCTTCGAATTCCTCTTCGTCGACTGTTGTTTCGAACACCTCTTGTAAGGACCTCACCTTGCCTTTTGGTTTGTCCGGGAAGAAATTGTGGAACTCCTCTACCAGCTCACTGTTAGACATACTATCTTCCAGGACCCAGGTATTCTCCGATGCCGGGGCCCCTTCCCAAGCCACCAAATATTCCACATTCCCCCCCTCTCCAACGAGCGTCCAGTATTTCCGTGACCTCATTGCACTGCTCCCTTTCCTCCATTTCGGGTGGTGAGCCTTCCACTCCCCCACTACCCGCTCTCCTTCCCCCCTCCCTGTAGGGGAACAGCAGTGACCTATGGAACACCAGATGGATTCTCATGCTTTCTGGCAACCTGAGCTTAAACGCCACCAGATTTATTTGCTGGATAACCTCAAAGGGCCCACCTTCCTGGGCTTGAGTTTCTTACAGCCCCCTTTCCAAGGCAATCCCTGCATGGACAACCACACCTTGTCCCCAATCCTGATGACCTCCCCTAATCGCCGATGTTTGTCGGCTTCCTTCTTGTATAACTCCTTAGCCCTTTCCAAATTTAACTGCAGCTGCCTGTGGATCGCTTCCATTTCCTCCACAAACTGTTCGGTCGCTGGAACACTCCACGACTCCTCCCCCCCTCCCAGGGAAGGCCCTTGGATGAAGCCCATGATTGGCAAAGAACGGTGTCATCCCTGTGGATACATTCTCCGCGTTGTTGTAAGCAAACTCTGCCAGGGCTAGTTTGTCCACCCAATCGTTCTGCTTCTGACTTACGTAACACCTCAAATACTGTTGTAAAACAGCATTCGCCCTCTCTGCTTGCCCGTTGGTCTCGGGGTGTCTCGCCGTTGTAAAGCTCACTTCCACCTGGAGCAGCCCCATGAGCTTGCACCAAAATCGTGAGGTAAATTGAGCCCCCCGGTCCGACACCACCCTTGCAGGTACCCCATGTAACCTAAACACGTGCTCTACGAACAGCCTAGCTGTTTCTTCCGCCGTGCGAACAGGGCACGAAATGGCACATTTTGGTCAAGTGATCAACCACCACCATGACCGCTGTCTTCCCCTTACATTTGGGCAGATCAGTGATAAAATCTACACCCACCACCTCCCACGGCTTCCCAGGTGTGGGCAATGGTTCCAGCAACCCCGCTGGTGCCGCCCTTTCCCCTTTGGCCCTCTGACATGTGTCACATCCTCGCACATATTCCTTTACATCCTCTCTCACCCTTGGCCACCAAAATTCCCTCGTGACCAGTAGCATGGTCTTATGCTGTCCAAAATGCCCCGCCGTACAACTGTCATGGAGTTGCTTGAGGATTCGGCCCCGAAGGTCTTCTCCTGGAACATACAAGGCCCCTTTGTGGTACAGTAACCCCCCCTTTCACCTCAAAACCACCCTCGGCACCCCCTCTTCCTCTTAACTCCCCGATCTTTTGTCTGGCAAAGGCATCGTCTCTGAGCATTTGCATCAGTTCGTCGTCCTTGACCAACGTCCCCCCGCACAACCATTTGCTCTCTGGGAACATCAGTCTTGCTACAGGTGGCCCTTCCCCCATCATATACTCGGGTTTCCGGGAGAGCGCATCCGCCCTCGCATTCTGCTCTCCCGGCACGTATTGGATAAGACTTCGATACTAGCAAAGAGATCTTTTCCCGTTTGCCTCTCCCTGACAGATTCTACGACAAAAGGTGTATTGTGTGTTTATGCACTGAATAGTTTTTTGTTTTGTTTTTCTTTAGATCTCGAAATGCTTCAGTAAACAGTAAATAGCAGGACCATAATTATTTTGAAAATCTGTTGTATTAGGGCAGAAAGCCTCTTTTATTCAAAAAGCCAGTTATATACCAGATGCTTGAAACATGTGGATATATGGGAATAAATTAAATAACTAGCCCTTGGACTTTAAACTTTAAATGTGTTTGAAATGCTGCCAACACCAGCCATGCCCTATGAACACATTTTCTGATATAAACATACATATTCCTTTTATAATTCTGAAAGTCATAAAAACCTGCATCAAGAAGAAAGTAGCAATTTCAAGTATTTTTGAAATTGTTATTTTATGATATGCTGAAACATAACTTATTAAACAAATGACTCCTTTCCATTTTCTTCAGAGAGAGGCACACACATAAGAGGCATTCTGCCTTGACTGAACTAATCACTGGGAAAACTCTTGTTGCTTTTAAACAGACTTGGCCCAATAAAACCATCCAAATAGTTGCAGCAGTTTTAGATACAGTATTCAGGACCAGGCCTGGCATAGAGGCAAAACCCAAGAGTTGCAGTGGAGGGCAGCTTAGTCATTAGCAACCCAGGCAGATAGCCTGAGCACCTCAAACCTCCTTGCCTTGCCACTTGGCCAATTAGCATCACAAAGTTTGGGCAATAGTGGGACATAGTGGACCGGCTTGAGATTTCTTCATTCAGATTCATCTCCAGCCAACTACAGGAGGAGATGCCAAAGATGTGAGTGGCTCAGTGGAAATGACACTGGTCCATCCTCATTTGAAACTAACAGTAAAGGACAAGGTAGGATTGTGCCCCATCATGTTCTACATGAATGACTTTCTGATCATCAGCTCCCTCTATTAATAGCTACTGCAAAATCCTTTGGTAAACCTTTCAATGTCCTCGGGGTGAACTGTGTTTTGCTGACAAAGTGCAAGGCTGAAGGTGCCACTAAGAGATTTACTTGCAGTCGGACAGTTCCAATCTGCCCCAGGAAAAGCTAGCAAGCTTGAAAAATGTCCTCATGAGTATGCTGATTTTCAGCAACGGCACAGGTGCCACTCTGCCACTTATCCTTTCCTTGCTGGATGGTCACCTGAAGAAGGCTCCTTCCATGTGGCTGGTTATGGCTACAGGCAGCATACCTGACTCTCCATCATGATCTCAGGGCAACTAAAAGAACTCAATGATGCCTTTGAAAAGGTGGCTGTCCTTTTCTGTTCAGCTTAAACCCACTGGGATTTGGCAGGATGGGCTTTCCATCAAGAATAACTTACAGCTGCACTGAGGTACTTCTAGGCCAAAGATCTCTTAAGAAGGGCGGGGTGTCACAATTGGAGATACGCAGAACTGCCAACAATCCAATAAATTTTTCATTGCTTTCCTATAGTGTTAGGGGTCAGGCTGTGACCGACAGTGTTTCCAAGGGTCTAAAGGATGGAACAAAATATCCATTTGTGTGGCAATCTGGCATTGCAGAAGGTTGTGAGAAGTCATCTCATTTAGGGTCATGTGCCTGATGCAGTAATTCATCCTGATTTGTGGTTTGTTAATCATGTATTGGAGTGGATAGTGGCGTGTTCAGGCACTATAGTGAATTCAACAGAACAGATTCTTTTCACTGCCACTTGGTGCCTGCTTGACAGCAAAGCTGCTTGCAAATGATCTTCTAGGCTCTGTGGAATTATATCATAGAGACTATTAAATCTGCAGATCTTTTGCACCTCCCAGAACATTTCTTCTTTTCCCCAAATCTAACACTATATAGCAATCTGTGCAAGGGAACCTGGAGGACTGGAGTCAGAAGGCACCAGAGAAGTCTT